GCCATCTTAGGTCGCAGCCGCACCACGCGGCCCTGCCATTTTTGCTTTTGCAGCCGTCTTTGGTCGCGGCTCCCGCAGCTCTCCACAGTTGACTTTTACAAAAAGGTACGAAAGCCTGCTGAAATTCTGTTAGTTGTAACTCTTTACACCTTCCCTACTTGGATCAGGTTGTTTTCTCCTTCTCCCTGGTCAGCTCAAGAAGACACCTGTGCAGGCTCCATGAGTCCCAGCTGGATAAAGTTCCACTGCATTTGTGTGCTGCTGTCCTAGTGCTGGAGCTATATGTCTACTTACTCTTCAACTAAACTCCGCAAGCTATTCAGAAGGCTGTCATCCTACCCTGCTTCTTTCCTTTTTGAGTCTTTAGTTCCTTGCATTCTATCGATACTCAAATTACTCTGCATACCATCTTGCTCAAAATTTCTCAAACAGTACATTAAAGAAACTAGCTGCACACTGTGGTGGCTCACACCTATAATCCTAGCTACTCAGAACTGGGATCTGAGAATCAAGGTTTTAAGCCAGTTTAGGCATGAAAGTCCATGGGACTCTTATCTCCAATTAACCAGCAAAAAAAAAAAAAAAAACCCTAAAAGTGGAGCCTTGTGTGAAAAATGCCTGGGCCTGAGTTCAAGCTCCAGTAAGGCATTACCTGCACAAAAAGTAAAAAGAGAAGTGGGAGGGGAGGAGAGAGGAAAGAAAGGGAGGAGGGACTCTTTTACTCAAGGCTAGTGCTCTACCACTTTGAGCCACAGCACCAATTTCCATTTTTCTGGGGGTTAATTGAAGAGTCTTATCGGCCTTTCCTATCATCAGATCTCAGCCTCTTTACTAGCTAGGATTACAGGCGTGATCCACTGGAGCCTGGCTGACCCCATTTTTTAAAAGTCACACGTCTTTCACTGAAATATGCTTACACAGTAAGTCCCTAGAACAGCAATAAAACATCATAACTCTTGATGCCATACAAACAAATTTCTCTGTTACCAGATCAGGTGAAAACAAACAAATTTTTGTGTTTGAGCTTTTTTTTTTTGTCGGTGGTGGGGATTGAACTTTGGGCTTGAGCGCTAGCCCTCAGCTCTTCAGCTCAAGGAGAGTGATCTACCTCTAGAGCCACAGCGCCACTTTTGGTTTTCTAGTAGTTTATTGGAGATAAAGAGTCTCACGGACTTTCCTGCCCAGGCTGGCTTTGAACCATGACCTTCAGATCTCAGCCTCCTGAGTAGTTAGGGTTACTGGTGTGAGCCACCAGCGTCCGGCTTTGAGCATTATTTTGAAACACGGAACAACTCCAAAAATGTTAACTGCCACTCATCTCCAGAAAAAAGCAAAAACAAAGAAGACTAAACACTGAACCCAGGAATGTGGCTATTCAAAGGAACAAACTTTTGTACTTGCTTTGCCCCGATTTCTGCTACATAAACTGCCCCAGTCTTTCTATCTATTTCTAAGAGGTGTGGCAGAACTTGATCTGGTAGCTGGATGGTGCTGATCACTGAACAGTGCCCGAGGTTTCCGGTGGGTGGGGCCGCCAGGATGGACAGCCTGCTGAGATTCAGCTGGGCCACAATCAAGTACTTCCCATCTGGAGTAAATCTAAAGAGAAAGTAATGTTCAGAAGCCTAAATATTTATTTTGTCAACATTGTAATTCCCACTGTGCAAACTATAGCAGTTATCTATTTGCTGGGTGATTCTGTTACAGAGAAGGAAAAATTGATCTAATTCTACAGAGGGAATAAGATATCTGGGACAGTAGAAACAAAGATTAACTTAAATTAAAAAAAAACCCTCAATATTACAGTTTACTAAGCAAAAGGAAACGGAGTGAGAACTGGCAGTAGGCTGGGTCCACTATCACAGACTCACACTTTGATTCTCTGCCACTGGCTGTGGGAGGTTCACTGGGATTTCACAGGCCACTGGGAGTTAGTAACTGTATCTGGGATATGAAATTCCCATATATAAAACTTCTCTGTATGCTTGTTTCTTTCCACTTTTCCTAGATGAACATGAATAATACCTTGAGCTTTCTGCTGGCTCTTCAGAGATAGTGAATCATATAAGCAAACAAAATTAAGGATTTTGAAAAGGCACAATTACCTGACTGAAGAGGGGCCTTCTTCTGTGAAACAACTACTCCATGCTCCTAACCACTCTCCAGTGTCTTTATCAAATACTTGGAGTCTTTTATTTCCTCGGTCAGCAACCCACACCTGAGAAAACAAAAAGATTTCAGTTGGGAAAAGACCCTCGATATGAGAATATGATTACTTTTGCTCATTTATATAAATTACCTCCGTACTTAGAGGTCTCCAAAGGAGAGGGCATTATTAAATCCTATTTTCTGATCTGTAAAAGCTACATTTCAAAGGTCAAAAGCTTTGTTTGTGTGCAGTGAGAAATGTGAGTGCCACAGTCTAAGCCCGGTGTCAAAACACTGAGCCCAGGATGTTCCGGCTACAGTATTAACATAAGAGTAACTAAAAACCTGAGGGGCCTAACAGTCAGATTAAGGATACAGAAAGTCTTTCATTCATTTGTTAATGAGCATTCACTATGCGTGAGAGCTGCCAATTTGTCACTTCCTAGTCTAGGCCACAAGACAAGGACAAGAAAAAGTGGCCTGGCTCCACAGCTCAGCACGGTGGGAAGTTTACCCTCATAAAGCAGTATCTCTACCTGCTGTGACTGAGGTGTGTCCTAAGCGCTTGAGCACTTAAGAGAGGAAGGACAGGAGATGACAAAACATATGAAGGATAACATGTTTAAGGTAGGTTATTGATGATGATGACTTATTAAGGAAATATTGGTATAAAGTAGGAGGTTAGATTCATTCTAAATGACTTCTATATGGATGGGTGAACTTGCTACATAATGTGAAAGGGTTTTCATGATGTGGTTAGAGTTTTAGACAACAGGAAGACTTGTCAAGAGGAAAGACCCTGCTACCCACTACCTCCCCATTTGGCTCCACTGGATCTCATGGGTTTGGGAATCCAGGCACCATTTCTTCGGGACAACCCTTAGATCTTTATCAATGTGTGCTTTTGGTAGTCCTTAGTTTTTTTTCCAAGTAGAAACAAAGGAGCTAACCCCAAGCAAATGGTATCTCTGATAAGGAAAGAGAGTAAAGGAAAAAGAACTGTTAATAAATGGGGGTGGAAAAGAAAAAAGATTGAAATGTATTGGTTAAAGCTTTCTTTCTTTTTTTTTGGGGGGGTCCGGTCGTGGGGCCTGAACTCTGGGCCTGGGCGCTGTCCCTTAGCTCTTCAGCTCAAGGCTAGCACTCTACCACTTGAGCCACAGC